ATATTGTTCGGAAATGTGTTATAAATAAAATATCAAAAAATCAACTCGAGACTAGTTGGGAAACTTGCTAATAATTAGTGCAATTTTCATCGTAGACACTTGTAATTCAGGATTTTTTAGGTTTTTACACCCTTAATAAGTGATAAAAATTTTAGCCCGAAAGCTTCATTGGTTTGGAGTTGGCGGAATTTGTTATCTAAGAAGATGCTATTTTCAATTCATTTTTCCCAAGCTCACAGGCGTTGTAGAGTTTCGATCATTAGTTGTTTTTGTACCTAAATAGTTGTATTGACATATGCATTTACTGAGAATTTAGTTTTTCAAATTTAATTTGTTTAAAAATGACTGAAAAAATGTTGATATTTATTAAATTGTTAAGATAGGTAATTATTATAAAATAAAATAGTAACCTCTATACTTTAGTTTTCTTCGAATTTAAAAAAAATCGTTGTTGTAAGTTGATTAGAAGCTGAGATTTATATTTTTTTATTATTTAATCGCAGTGACCTTAATTATTAATATTAAGAGCCGAAATTTGGAAAGAGTATACATTAAGAGCTATATTTTCATGTCCTACATTAACATTAAGGTGAATTCAACTATTTAATTGCGAAAAAGAAGATAGCGGCGATGCGTTCTATTACTTGGTCTAGCGAACGAGTTGGGAGAGCGAGGCGGAGCATGCGCGCTTAACAATTTAATAAATATTAACATCAGTCATTTTTAAACAAATTTAATTTGAAAAATTAAATTGTCAGTAAATGCATATGTCAATACAACTATTTAGGTACAAAAACAAGTAATGATTGAAACCCTACAACGCCTGTGAGGAAAAATGAATTGAAAATAGCATCTTCTTAGATAGTAAATTCCGCCAACGCCAAGCTAATGAAGCTTTTGGGCTGAAATTTTTACCATTTATTAAGGGTGCAAAAAGCCTCAAACATCCTGAATTACAAGTGTCTGCGATGAAAATTGCATTAATTATTAGCAATTGAAAATAGCGGACATTTTCGACCATTTTTGAGCTCTTGCGCATAAACAAATTATCGGAATTTAATCGGACCTGTCTTATTTTACAGATTTATTTAATACCTACCTTTTTTGTATAAACCTTTTTTCTCTATAAATAACAGTTTTTTTACGCGAGTCAAAAAACCACTTTTCCATAATTTTGATCATTGTTTTAACAAAGTTTCCCAACTAGTCTCGAGTTGATTTTTTGATATTTTATTTATAACACATTTCCGAACAATATTCTGCAGAAAAACTTCTAATAGTTTTTTTTCCCCGAAAAAAAGCTATAATGACTGGCCTATAATTTTTGAATTCCTTTATTAAGTAAAATTATTATTTAGTAATAATCATTTAATATCTTCTCTTAGAATTAAAGCAGAATGTGTGAAACGGGATTTGTGAAAGCTACTTCGCAAATTTTACCGAAAATTTAAATTTTTATCATGAATTGAATTTTTAAAGAGGCGATCGTTTTAATATTTTCGAAATCAGAGGTATAAAAGCAGTCAAATAAGGATCAACATATTTAATGAATGATTTTATTGTGTTTATTTAGGTATAATATAAATAAAATAAATAAAAAATAATAATTTCATAATATAAAATACCTATGACAGCAGTCTATCAATTAAGAGTATTTGTGATATTATTAATTTCCTGATTGTAATGGATTCAACAAAATTTAAGTGTTGTTTTGTTCCACATTCCACATTCCACATAGCCAATTGCATTATCTCTATAAGACTCCCGAACTGCACTATAATTTTCCGTAAATAAATGCACTAGTGTCACTTTTGTTTATAAAGAGGAAACAAGGCAATAGGGTTTGATGGACAATTTAAACATATTTTCTTCTTCTTCAAAATTATGCAATAGGATCGCTTCTAGCTTCTTGTTCAATTGCCCCTTATGACGTCAGACTAGTGTTTACGTAACGCAAAAATTCATAAATGAATTTTACCACTAATTTGTCATATATTTAAAATTTTACTATATAGGCAGGTTCTTTTATATAAAATCTTTGTATCAACAACAATTTGTATATGGTTTGTTTTTATAGTCAACAACCCTATTATTTGACCTTTTATTGTTATTGTTTATTGATAGATAAATCAAACTTTAATCTGTGTAAAAATATACAAGGTATTTTGTTTAAAAAACATAAGTTTGTTTTGACACTTTGTCTATAAGTTTGGTCCGATACAAAATTCTGATGCTCTAGATAAATTCATAAGTAGAACGTTCTCAGAAATTTAGATGGAGCAAAATATAAGGAAACAAACTATATACGTACAGGGTGATTGGTCACCGTTACAAGAGAATGAAAGGTGCAAATAGAAAATAGCAATCAAGAATCTTTATGGCATGGCGTAGAAGTATTGGACTTAAAACTAATTTTGCATAATGCTTTTTTTTCTCAACAACTTTTATTGTGAAGTTTTCGGATTTATAGAAACAAATGATTTATAAGGTTTGATCACAAAGTAACGGGAATTGTTAATTTTCTCAGAAAATATTTTTTTAATCTTCAGTATTTATTTATCCCATCCCCTTCAAAGTAGTTCCCCTGTTATATTATACACTTATGCCAACGTAGTTTGCAGTGTGAGGAACATTGGTGGAACGCCTCTTCAAGTATCGTCTTGAGCACGGTTTGCGATTTTGCCATTATCTCGTCTATTGTTCAAAAACGTTGTTCTTTGAGTATCTTTTTGAATTTGGTAAATAGAAAATAGTTGCAGGGGTCGTGTCCGGAGAATAGGGTAGTTGCGGTTTTGCAAAAAACTGTTGGATAAAAAAGCGGTACAATTAAAAAAAACTCGTAGCTGTGACATACTATTGTCGCCAAAGACATTCTTCAACATTTTGAACGCTTTGCTGCATTTAATTATGCTTTTAACACAAAGTATCAGACAAACTTTGAAACGACAATTCGCTAACAAAAAATCACCAAAAACACTGAGATAAGTAGTACTCACTCGCTCGCTAAACACAATCTAAGCGTGGAAACTGCCTAAAAATTGACAGGTACGTTACTAGCAGTGTTAGCTATCAACACACAAAAAAAGAATCAATTCGATAGACAGAATACAACACGCCCAATTGAAAATTCCTGTTAATGTTTGTTCAAATCGCGTAAGTATGTTAATAATTACATTGAAAGTACTTTGTTTTGTACGGAATCGCTGTTAAAACCATGGACAAACTTGATGGAATCAGTTCTTTTCTCTATAAATATAATTATCATATTTTGAACGGAAAAATATATAGAAAAATTGGTGTTAAGAAAAATGAGGCACATGTAAAATAGACATCATATTGTTCTAAACAATACAACCATAATATTTATTAATTATGTATGGACAAATTAGAAAAAAATAATTTGTTTGCATTATTTGGGCTCTCAAAACTTTGTAACCTTAGTAATGCGGACTAGAATAGCCTAAAATGATATTCTGGGATAATGTATTATCTCTTACCATGAAGGGTTCCCATGTATCCCTTACCAATTTAGCTGAATATTTTTTATGTTCTAAAGGATCAGAAAACAAGAGATAAATATTTTTATCTGCGGGAAAACGTTCTACTGGGCTAAAAAACCACCCCTGAGTATCCCCAAAATCAGTTTTTTGAGAATATCTCTAATACGATTTGATAATTTTTTATGAAACCGACAAGAAATTATTTTGCATGACCTACCCCCTTGAAGTGTATCTTTGAAAAAACCAGTTCAGGAATCAATTTTAGTCAAAAAAGTTTATTTCCGCGGAAAAATGGCTATCAGAATTTTTATAAAGCCAAAAGTATGAAGAACAATCATTCCCAGACCTATAAAAATAAACTTAGTTTCCCAACGCCTATAAATTATTATCAGTTAGTTTTTTGAAAAATTCCACTGAGTTGTAGATATATTGTAAGAAATTGGAGTTTGGGGTGTATTTTGAGGGTAGTTGTCACCCCTACGACTTATAATTTGGTATACAGATAAGTTTATGTTTAGTAGAACATAACAGATCAAGAAAGGAGCAAAAAAGTTTGTCATGTTGAAAATAAAGTTATTTTATTATAAATGTGGCTTACCCCCTTGAAAAATATTGAAATTTCTAATTCATAATTCAATTTAGTGAAGAACAGAAATAATTTGGTGACTATTTGAGTTTTTAACGTTTTTGCAGGGCAAAACAAACGTAAAAAGGCATATTTACCCCTATAAAAATAAGGGATGCAACCCCCAGTGATTGAAATACTGCGCACAATATCGCATTTCAATGAAAGAGACAATAGATCAAAAAAGGAGCAGAAAAAGTTTGTCACATTGAAAATAATTTTCTTTTAGTATAATGGTATTTAGTATTTTTTGAAAAATACCGAAATACCTGTCAAATTTAAAATTCAATTTAATAAAAAATAAACACAATTTGGTGACTATCTGAGTTTTTTTAACATTTTAGCAGGTCAAAACAAACACAAAAAAGCATATGTACCGCTACAAAAAATAAGGGATGCAACTCCCAGGGATCAAAATACTGCGCATGATATCGTATTTCAACGCAAAATAATTCCTTGTCGGTTTTAGAAAAAATTATCAAATCATACTTACTAGAGATATTCCCAAAAAACTGATTTTGGTGATAAACTTTGGGCGGTGAATTTCACCCGCTTAGAACGTTTTTCCGCAGATAAAAACCATACATATCTCTTGTTTTTTTATCCTCTACAACATATCAAGGTTTCAGAGAAATTGTTAAGGGATACTTGGGAACCCTTCCTTGTTAATTCTTTACCTACTTGTACTTCGCGTCTTATACTGTTATTGGATTAGGTATAAATTAACTAAATATCTATTAAACAACACTATGACTACATTTATTTTTCATATATCTTTAAATCACATATTCCTAATTCATTTAGTAAGTGTATTATCTAAGTAAGAAAATAATTGACAACATATTCACAACAAAATTCAATAACTTAATAAGAATATGATATAAACTTTATGTCGGCCTACTCAATACAAAAACGAGTCACAAAACTAATAAATTTTACTTCACAAATTCTTATATCTTAAAAAAGAAGTTACATAAAGCCTCTACTCTCTCTTCCGTCATATTAATGTAATTCAACTCATTCTTTTGAAGTTTCGCCACGAACTCGTCTACGGTTTCGTTTGTAATTTCTAATCCGTACTCCATTATCGCGTATCTCGTATTTGGCAAGTCGAGGGCAATCAGAAGGGGAATGACGTCGTCTAGACCTATAAGGTCCCTTAAGATGTCTGACAGCTCGCTGTCCACACCGACGAAGAATTGCAGGAAGGTGTCGTCTTCAGAATCCAGGAAATAACCCTCTTGGACACAACTCAGACTTATGTTGTGCGTTTTGTAGTAACTCTCTGCAGTTGGTAGTAAAACAGACTCTGCAAATTGAACTTCCGTGTCTTCGCCATCTGAAAAATATCGATATATAAGATTAATAATTGGAAAAGTAATAAATAGAATTTCCAAAATATCTTTGAACACGATTGATTTACTGAGGTACATTTTTCTAATTATTATAGCTATACAGAGAAAAAATTAAGGAGCTGAATCCTCGTTGAAGACTAACAACAAGGATTCATTCAACAATTTAAGTTTTTTAATAACCTACAGGATTATCATAAAACCTATTTATAAAACTATTGACAAATCTACATTTATGTGGCAGTATCATAGGATGTAATAAAACCAAAAAAAGGGTCAAAAGAACGATCTTCAGGAGGTTGTCAAAACTAAAAGCTTAAAACTGTTACAAAACTTATTTCTGTTTTCGGGGAATTTACTTTTCAATTCTTAAATATTAAACAGGTGTCTTGTACACTAAAATTGTTAAATGGTCAAAACTAAGGTAAGCTGAATATGCTTCGTTTAACACTAACATGGTCAGGAGTCACATTATACAGGGTGGTCGCGACGTAATGGGCCAAAATTCATGGGTAGATTCCCCAAGTAAAAATATTGCGATTTAGCCGAACTTACCTTAGTCCAAAAGTTGATAGTTAAAGAGATACAGGGTGTTAAATGTAAAATATTATTTCAGTTTTTTATAATTTATTCCTTAACAAATGCAAATATCCTCACAAATTTTTGGGGATTAGAGTTCGTTGAGTAGAGGAATTGAAATCTGTTCACATTTTGGTTAAAGTTCATAGAGGGCGCTAGCTGCAGTAGATTGAATGTGTTAAAAACGACATAACTTTTTTGTGCTTTAAGGTATCTCATCTTTGGTTACAAATTCTTATTTTCCAACTTTTTTTACACAAAAAAGGTATACTTTATTAAAGTAGCTATCTCGCACCGTTTTCGAGATATTTGGCTTTGAAACTTCCAATACTAATAGTTGAAATAATTAAAATAATTTAGAAATGTCAAAAACAAGGGTTTATTTAGAATTAAGAATTGTAATGAACAGTAAAATAGTAAACATTAGTAAAAAAATATTCTAAAGAATTACCATTGTCAAGATCATAAACTAAATGCATATGGTCATTTGGGCATTAATATAATGTAATCTGCATATTACACAAAGGCAATCTCATTAAGCATTACTAACAACTATAATTATCTGACAACCGTACATTTTCGTTTCAATGCAGATCAGAATGTGTATCGTAACATTTACTTCTTGCTAAAAAACTATTATATTTACGAAAAAATAGAAGAGATCAAATTTGATTCAAATAAATCATGCTACCTAAAACAAGTTTTAAGTGATGTGACTTGTAGGAATGGTTACTTCCACCCCTTACAACCGAAGACGATCGAATTATCCGGTAAATATCTTTTTGATAGCAGGAAAAATGTATGCAATTACACCTCTATCACTTTTTCAATGTTTCAGGAAAAATTAAAATTAAAATTTTCTCTCCCCATTTGAAAGGTCATAGATTCACATATAGGGGGCGGATAGATTTTTTTACGTGAAAACTCCTTAATTTGTAACAAGGAATTGCCTCCTTAATATTTTTGTATTTATTTATTAACATAAAAATGCAAAATATCTACAGGATGATTCACTATATTTTGATCCTCCTTTAACTTTTTTGTTTTAAGAGATATAAAATAATGTAAAATACAAAAGTTGCACGATTTTTTATGAATTTTTCGAAAATGACATTTGAGAAACAAATGAAGTCCAAAGAAAATGGCGGCGGATGTTAACTTTGTTAATTTAAATGGAACACTCTGTATATTTTTACATATTTGGATAGAACGTTCCCTGTCGAGCATAGTTATGTAGAGTTTGTTGGGTCCATCTCTAACAATAAGCGAGATACTATTAAAAAAAGGAAATAATGTTTTTTATTAAGAAAATAAGATATCTTGCAATTGTTATACCTCTTTCAGGCACTTCTGCCTTTTTTCTAATTACGTAAGGATTTACAGATTTGGTTGTAATATATTTTCACATGCGGACATTCATATGATCCAAAAAGGCGTATATGTATTCTAACTAAATCTCACTAATTAGGACGTGAGAGGCCTAATTACTCATGGACAATGTTATATGGTAGGCCGTGACAGTGACAGGTAATGTCATGATAAAATTGCTATTGATTGACAATTTGTATTATTATTTAATTAAAATAGGTTACAGAGCAGTAGAAAATTGAAATATTATTAGGAATTAAAATAAAGTATGTATTTGAATTCCCAATAATATTTCTACTTCTGTGTAACCTATTTTAATTAAAATATAATACAAACTGTCGATCAATAACAATGTTGTCATGACATTACCTGTCACTGTCACGACCTACCATATAACATTGTTCATGAGTAATTAGACCTCTCACGGCCTAATTAGTGATATTTACTTAAAATACCTATACGCATTTTGAACCATATCAATGTAAGAAATGTCAAAATATAGTACAACTAAATCTGTAAATCCTTACTTAATTGGAAAAAAGGCAGAAATGCCTGAAAGAGGTCTAACAATTACAAGATATCTTATTTTCTTAATAAAAAACCTTCTTTTCTTTTTTAATAGTATCTCGCTTATTGTTAGAGATAAACCCAACAAACCCTATTTGATTATACTAGACAAAGAACGTTCTATCCAAATATGTAAAAATATACAGTGTGTTCCATTTAAATTAACAAAGCGTTCATTTTGTTTGGACTTCATTTGTTCTTCAAATGTCATTTTCGAAAAATTCATAAAAAATCGTGCATCTTTTGTATTTCACATTTTTTTATATCTCTTAAATCAAAAATGTTAATGGGGGGTCAAAATATAGTGAATCACCCTGTGATTATAATTACAGAGTTTTCATGTCTAGGTACATGATATTTAAAATCGTATTTCCAGACATTCGTTCACAGAACATTTTGTTGTTATTTTGGCCACCCCAATTCAAATATTAACTTGTTTAATTAATCTTGAAACATCCTGTATATTTCATTAGTTAAACTTCCTATAATGGAACACACAAGACACAAATTCCATATGTCATTGCAAACATCTGCTCAGTTACGAAAATTTTGCCACAAATTCAAGGATTTTCTTGAGATAATCGACTGAATTTAATATCTTATCGTATCTTATCAAAGTTTATACGTTTCTAGAACACCCTGTATATGTGTATGCAATACCTATACCCAATATTTGGTCTTTTTTAACGTTTGGTGTGAACTTTTAAAAGATTACACATTACAAATTCTTATTTATTTTGTATTAGCTTCACGTTCGTGGTGGTCATGGATTATTACTGTGAAACAGGTGACAAATACAAACGCTGTCAGTGACAATTAAGACAGGTTATGTCATATACGTGCATCATCTGTTTAATGGTCATGATCACCATCCATGGCCACCGCAACAAGGTTGAGAACTAGTTGGAATTTTATATCAAGCAACCAAACATACATCTCTACCACTAACGATTTTGCGTTATAAAATAAATAGCAAAGATAATGTATTTATTTAGATAATAATTATATTATCGTATAGAATACAGAGTGAGTTAAATTTGATGAGATTTCAGTGTATGTACTTAAGAAATTATTGAAAATAGAGAAATCTGTTAGTCGATTTTCAAGACAAATTCACTGAATTTTACATCAGATACTCCATAAATAAAGAAACTTATATACAGGGTGTCTGATGAAAGATAGACCACATTTCACACTAAATTCTACGATGGAAATTAATGGGAGCAGTTTATACAAAAATGTGTCGATAAATATTTTCCAAGATAGATGGTACTGGCATAAAAAAACTGAATTTTAATTTTTCGAAAACCTATTTTTTTTCTAATTTTAATATTTTGTACCCTCATATTCAGGTACAGTTTGAGTTGAATCCAGTGGCGTACAAGTGTCTTTAAAGGGTACCATTTATTAAATCAATGACATATACATCTGACTAAAACAAAAAATATGTTTCTTTCATGTCTGTTATTATCTGGCCATATCTTTATTATCAACAGTGTAACACTTAAAAAGCATTTCATTTATTTGAAGTAATATAAGTGTGATTGAAAATTTAAAAAAATAAATATCGCTCTATAACTCGAAAACAAATCAAGATGACTCATATCTGTCGGAATAATATTATCTGTTTTATACTGTCTCTTTAGCAGTACTTCTCTAAGGTAGGTACCCTAAAATTCCATCGAATTTGACTCACTGTCTACGCCTTTGAGAACTGTTAATTATTATCTATTGTTTCATCTGAACTTCAACCTTTCTCTGAGTCAATTTAGTGTTGTTTATGTGATGTTCCATCCTCTAGTCTGAGTTTAAATATGAACCTCCACATTCTTATAAAAGTTAAATAGGGGCAAGAACCGTATCCACTACATCGAATAGTACTATTTTTATAAGCTTGGCAACAGTGTTCAGTGTAATTCACACATTCAGATTAGGATGGAATAAAAATATAAACAAAGGTAAAGCTAGAACAATTTTGCCGGTAACTTTTTGTAGAGGTATATATTTTTAGTACTTATTAGAATTAGCTTACTATTACTTATCAGTCAGTTATCAGTTGATTTTATTGACAAATCTTGTGTCTGTGATATATAATAAAGCAAAGTGGTGAATGTAAACTGTATTTGTGGTCCATAATGTGTCAGTTTTATAAACGGAAGGACCTCTACCAGTGTGATTGCAATTGAAAGTAAGTATTCCTTATAGTTATACTTATGGAACATTCCATGTCAAATCACAGAGGTCGCGACCTAACTATTTTAAATTTTCCTGCTTTTTTGGTATTATTTAGTACCCATTTAGAGTAGCTTTCACGAATTTTTTCAAATTTTTATTTCATCGCCTCAAGAATTTATGTGCATTTGAATATTTTGTGTAAAAAATTTTAAAATAGGTACCTGTAACTTGGCAAAAACTAAAGACAACATAAACTTTTTTTTCATTTTGTTCGTTTTGAGATGTAGCTTTATAAAAAAAATTTAAAAATAATATATTTTTAGTTTTCTGTTATGTTTTTTTATTTTTAAACCAAAAAGTGCTTTTTGAAGAGGAGTGGCGTTTTTTCTCAAAAAAATCGTTCTTCAATATTCAAATTTTTGAGACAGGTCCTAGAGTAAGATCTCTTTTTATTCTTTTTTTTTCGAATTAATTTTTTTTGTATTTTAATATTTTACAGATAATGTACGCTATTAAACCAAATTTTATTATAGAAATACCAAAATCGTGATGACTAAGAATACCGTATTTTAAAAACTACTTCTACTAATATTATCATTATTAAATATTTAAATTATAATTAACTAAACATTTCGATTTCTTTTTTCGATACTAAAAAGTTTATTTTGCACAATGCCATGTTACATTTTTAACCAATTGTATTTAGTAAAAACATTTATATGTAGATAAGTTAACTACGAAATAAAAAAAAAACAACTTCTAGAACACTTGACGGATTCTTTTTCTGTAGTATTCCATTAAATATTCACGTCAGTAACGTAATCCAAGCGCCTTCGAAGGATTTGACTCCAGAAGTTGTTAATTCTCTCATATTTATTGTTTTAATGCGACTCTTGGTTTTTCTAGTTTTGTTCTTTTCTTCTAATAGTTGACAATAAATATGTATTTTGCAACAATAATTATTTTTCTGTTATTTTCGCGAAACAGATTTTTTTAGTGCAGGATTCAAATATCTTCATACGTAAGACAGTGCATTTTTTATGGAAGTGACACAAGTATTCATGCATACTAAAATAATACGCCAATAGACTAGACACTATTAATTTTAAATTATTTGTTACCGATACTCTGGTATCATTTTGTGCTCCTTCGTTTAAATACACCCTGTATAATAAAATATGATTTAATAGCGTACTTTATTTGTAAAAAATTAAAATAAAAAAATATTTAATTCGAAAAAAAATTGAATGAGAAAAGATCCCACTGTAGGACCTGTCTAATAAACTGGCATATTGAAAGACGATTTTTTTAATAAGTTTTGAAACGCCGATGTCTTTTCTTAAAACCTACACAGAGGCATTTTCTACAACTGATAAAAATTAAATTAATTTAGTTTTTAAAGATTTACTTATTTATTTTTTCATTGCCCAACAGATTACTCCAACATTTTAAACCTATAAATGCAGAAATAATAATTTTCTTCAATTGAAGTGTGTGATGCAGTAATGCGTATTTTTTATTTGTCTGATAATTTCACTCTGATTTGTGGTTAGGCAGAAATAGTATAATAAGAATATCCCTTAACTTTTAACTTTTGGCACAAAGATATCGTTAGTTTTTTTCACAGGTGCAAAAATATCAATAAACAAGGAAAAAACTTAAACTATACTACAAGTAAGGCAAAAAAATTAAAAATCTATCATAAATAACTTGATTACTAATAGCGCATAAAGTCGTCTGGTCGACTCTGTCGAGTGGTGTGACGTCACAAATGCTCTGCTAATGGGTTAGACAGTTTCAAATATTTTACAAATTAGAGAGGACTCTGCACGGTCTGAAATTGTGGTAAGTTCTTGGTTTTGTGTTACTGACCAAAAATCAAAACTTTTCTACTTATAGCAGTCTAATTGTAAGTCAGCTCTGCTGATGTTGGCTGCAAACTAGTACGAATAGAATATTGCAATAAAAACAATAACTTTTGTGAAATGTTTATAGAAGAAATTAATCGGATGACTTCTAAAAGTTGTTAAATAACATTTTTAACATGTGCCAAATACCAAACTGGACGAATTGGCCGTTGGCAATAGTAAAGCGTAGATTGCGTGATAATTGTAGTAAGTATCAATAAGTGAATTGGATAATCAATCTTATGGTCCAAAAAATATTTGGTGCTGATTTTAGAGCCAGAATGACCTAGATTTTAATATGAGATTGTTTATTCTCGCCTTCTTTCTTCTCCATCTTTTGAAAGATTAATAGATGGGGCTTCGGGTTTGGAACCGGTACAGCGGCTAGTTTGGTATTTGGCACATGTCAAAAATGTTAATTAGCAACTTTTAGAAGTCTTCGGATTAATTTTTTCTAAAAACATTTTACAAAAGTTACTGTTTTTATTGCAATATTCCACTCATACCTACTAATTTGCAGCCATCATCGGCAGAACTGACTCAGACAGCTATAAGTAGGAAAGAATTGATTTTCGGGTCCAGATATTTTGAAGACAGTAAAATAAAACCAACAACTTCAGCGAATTTGACCGAGCCCACATTTTCATAAAGGGTCCTTTGTCATGGTTAACATAAAAGCTATCCACCTGAGTTTTTCACCGTATATTGAGGTGGTTATAAAATGGCTTATGAAAACCGTAAAATCAAGTTGTAAATTAAATATTACCGAAAGAACCCATTATTCCTTATAATCCTTGTCGGCATTATATTTTACTGCATACTTACCAACAAATAACACAACTGCTGGATAATCGTGCAAACTTGTCAAAAACCTGTCTGTCAAAATGTTCACCGGCTTTGGTTTCCAAGGAAAGTTCTAAAAAGAATATCACATTATTGAAAATATAAAATCTGTTCAAAAAATAAAACATCTACCTGAGGGGATGGCGTAATATTACTTTATAGGTAACACTACCAAGCTTAATAATAATTTTTAGCTGTATTTACCTGTACTAATGGGTCGTCCGCCAACTCCGTCCTAGCGTCCCTTGTAATAATGTGTCCATTATTGTCTAAAAGCAGCAGGGTTGGAATTCCTCTGATGCCGTACAATTCGGCAAGTTCTGCTCTTACCGCAGTCTGTTGAAATGGGACTGACAACCATGGCATTGTTTCGGTGTAGGCTCTGTATGACTCGGCACTCCTAGAAGTTATGAACAATTACAAAAAAAACAAACAAAATAGAAACGATAGGGTCACCCCTATAGGTCGTTAACGTAGTTTTAACAACATCATCAGGATAAATAAGATATTTTCCATTATTTTTTTTTAACTATATTCCATACTATTAACTACCATATCTTTATTTTAAGGGAATTAAAATAATTCAAACTAATTAAAAAAACTCAAAAGAGTTCTATCAAATGAAATCAAACAATGTTCTTCCATACCAAAAATGTAGGCTGGAAAAGATATTTAACGCCACAGGGAAGGTTCCTGAATTGATATGGCAAGGAACAGCTACTCTATGGGCTATATGCTCCAACTAGCATTGAATTATACTGGCAATATCTGGTATACACTGTGGAATAAGTTCAGTATCTCAATTATTGTGCATATTCATAAAAAATCCCGAGACACGGCGATTTTTGATTTTGAAATGACATCCCGCAACGTAAAAATTTCATGGCTAAATTCGACCCTGTTGAGTGGCAGTTGCAACCCCTAAACTTTTAAATGGGAAATAAGGGCTTGTGATTCCTCATTTGAATGATCTTTTCATTCTCTATTCAAAAATACTATGGTTTTAACATTTATTGCAAAAATGAACGGTCTGATTTATGAAATTTGTTAGGTACAACAAATAGAAATATAAAAACTTGCGTTTTGTTCTTACAGGCTAGCAAAAACAATTTCAGTGTTCTTTTTCAGATTTCTTGCATTGCCAGTTTTATTGAAAACGCCGTAGCTACTTGCTATTTCATTGACAGCAATAAATAGTTGTTGTTAGTTGTGTTTGTTAACTGCAATTCCTAAACATGGATTATTTAGCAGAAATGCATAAAATATAATTATACAGATGGTTGGTTTCGTGATTTGCCACCGATATCCCAAGGTACAATTCGCAAAATTGAAAAGCAGTTTCGCGGAAATGGACATGTACGGCAGATAAAAAAGGTATCAAATTAGATGTACAGGGTGTCTCAAACTCTATAGTATGGGCCTCTATTTAAATAAAATTTGGGACACGTAGTATTATCTTTGGGATTTGACAGAAACGACTAATGACATCATCAATTATATTTTTTCCAAAACCATACCGATGTTTTTTGTCTGATCACTTTTATTACAGAAATTTTTCAGTATTACTTCCTATTTAAAAATTAATAAGCAACATCGTCCTAAAGAATCTCAAAAGAAATACCACCTAAAAATCACATTAGCGGTGAAAGAATCAAGTAGTCATTGGAAAATAATGGAATGTTAGTTATTTAAAGTGCATAAATGTCATCAAAAATAAATAAAAGGATTAAACTCGATAATTCTTTAATACAGTTAAAACAAAAGATGATGATAACAATAACTAAACTTAAAAAATGAGGCAAACGCTTTCATACTACATACATATCTATTTTCTATATGACCTCTTCTCATTTCAAGACACATATCCAATCTTCGCCTGACTTCTTTATGGGCTGCGTTTATTAACATGTCGCCAGTTAACTCATTACAAGCGTTTGTGATTTTTTCTTTCAAATTATTAATATCTCCCGAAGGTGTTTTGTAAACCTTATTTTTAAAACCCTCCATAAAAAAATCGAGGGTTGTTAGATCTAGTGACTCCGGATCACTGAATAGGTCTATTAAGGTTCGCGCGCACTAGACCGGCCCGGCCGGCAACGGAACGCACCGCTACGGAACGCGAAATTATTTTTACATGGTACGTAAAGGAAACCGCGCGTACTTCTCGGCAACGGACAGCAACGCCGCGACCAGTCGTCGGCGGAAATCTCGGGCGAGAATACTTTTGCCGTTAGTTCGTTGTGTTTCGTCGTGGAGTGAAGTAGTGGGCGCTTTGTATTTCGACGAAAAGGACGCCGTTGGTTTCAAAATGGATGAAGAAAGGCTAATTTTGCTTGTCAGCGAGTACAGAGAAGTATACGATTTGAGTCATAAAAATTACTCAAAAAGATGTTTTCATATGTCATTCTAAAATATTGGAAACATTTCTCCTGATGCTTAATTAAATCCGGAAATAACGTTGCGTGTTCACTTTCTATCTTCCTTTTTCTGGAAATTTCGTGAACCCATTTTCGCTTTTTCTTGGGATTTTCTTGATTGCGTTCCTCTTCTTCGCAGAGCAAACTAACAACTGTTACGTTAACATCCATCTCCAACAAAATGTTCGTTGGAAGTGGAAAATTCGCGTTTCGTAGCGGTGCGGCGCATTGCCGGCGGGGTCGGTCTAGTGCGCGCGAACCTTAAGCCCAATCCATTAAATGCCTACCGATGATGCCGCGCCATACATTTACTCCAAAATGGTCTTGGTTTAGGACTGGATTTACAATGTGGGAATTTTTAATGGACCAGTAGTGTTCATTGCACCGGTGTGGCAAATCATTACTGACAAATTGACCCTCTAAAGAACGTGTCGAAAAAGGTTCTGATCAACATTTTCTACATTTACTACAATTTGAGCTATAAAATTAAGTCTGTTTTCAATGTGACGCTCAGGCAAATACTCCAAATTGTGATTTTTGTAGTAATGATTTCTCTAATAAAAGTTTATTAGAAAAAAAGAGAGCTTTTCAACAGGAAAATAATTATGGTAGATAAGTTTCTGGAAAAAGTATAACTGATGACGTCATTAGTAGTTTCTGTCAAATCCAAAAGATAATACTTTCGATTGAAAACGGAGCTTACCTCATCCCATTTAACACCACGTGGCCCAAATTTTATTTAAATTTTTTGTATCCTCACAGTAGGCCCATGCTATCGAGTTTGAGACCTACTGCTTGAGTTTGAAGAAAACCCACATGGTTCAAGTCGACAAACAGCTTCAGCAGTGAATGTTTCCCATTCCTCATTATTCATGCATTAAAACAAAATAAAATGCATCCCTATAAAGTGATATTATCGTGAACAAATGATGCAAAGCTTAGATAACAATGTTATCCAAGAACAAAATATTTTGTTTTCTGATGAGTCCACTTTTAGTCTTCACGGTTAATCGTTAAAACTGTCCTACTGCTGGGTTAATAAAAATCCTCACTGGAGAATTACATAAGCAAAATTCTGAAAAGTTTAATGTTTGGCCGGAGATAACTGAAGACCATATTATTGGTCCCTTTTTCAGTGATAGCAATTTGAATGAAGATAATTATTTACTTACTACACTACACAAAAAAATGTCGTGCCAATTTTGGCAATGTCCGACAATAACTCGTCTAACCATTTTCAAGTCGGTGGATAGGGAGGCAGACTAGAATGGCCAGCAGGTTCTCCTGATCTTACACCCTTAGATTTCGTTCTATAGGCATATGTGAAAAGTATGGTATGCAAAATGAAGCCACGCGATACAGCTGACCTGACAAGAAAAGTAACGGTTGCTGTTATGTCGGTCATGCCACAGATATTGGAAAATGTTAGGAGACATTTTTATTTACCATGCTGCCAAAACGTTAAAGTATATCATTTTTAACATCTACATTGAAATTAAGTTTTTTACTTTACAGACGAATTTATTTATTTCCTGTTAATTTTTGAATAGAGAATGAAAAGACTTTTCAAATGAGGTATCACAACCCTCTACTTACCATTTAAAAATTTAGGAATTGCAACTGCAACTCGAGTGGAATTGAATTCAATGATGAAATTATCATGATGCAGGATATCATTTCAGAATGTAAAATTGACGTGTCTTGGGATTTTTTATAAATATGCACAATAATTGATATACTGAATTTATTTCATTTGGCTGTTCCACGCGGTATTGTACAAAATGATTTCCCATATTTTGATCCCTCTTCAACTTTTTTTTAGAGTTTTTTTAAAAAAATACGAAAAAAGGAGAACTATTTTTATGAAGTTTTCGATAACAAATGAAGTCCAAACAAAAATGTCGCGATTGTTCACTTTGTTAATTTAAATGGAACACCCTGTACATTTTTACATTTGGATAGAACGTTCTCTGACGAGCATAGCCATATAGGGTTTGTTGGGTCCATCGCTAACAATAAGCGAGATACTATTAAAAAACGAAAAGGTTTTTTTTATTAAAAAAGTAAGACATATTGTAATTGTTAGACCTCTTTCAGGCATTTTTGCCTTTTTTCTAATTACGTAACGGTTTACAGATTTAGTTGCAATATTTTGCCATATCGGACATTGATACGGTCCAAAATGTGTATAGGTATTTTAAATAAATCTCACTAATTAGATCGTGTGAGGCCAATTACTCATGGATAATGGTATATGGTAGATCGTGACAGTGACAGGTAGTAATGGCATGATAACATTGTTATTGACAGTTTGTATTATTATTTAATTAGAATGGGTTACACAGAAGTAGAAAATTTAAATATATTGCAACTAAATCTAAATCCTTATGTAATTGAAAAAAGGCAGAAATGCTTGGAAGAGGTCTAACAATTACAAAATGTCTTATTTTCTCAATAAAAAACCTTCTTTTCGTTTTCTAATATTATCTCACTTGTTGTTAGAGATGGACCCAACAAACCCTATGTGACTATGCTCGAGAGGAGAACGATATATCCAAATATGTAAAAATATACAGGGTGTTCCATTTAAATTAACAAAGTTAACATTCGCGGCCATTTTGTTTGGACTTCATTTGTTTTTCTACTATCATTTTCGAAAACTTTATAAAAAATCATGCAACCTTTGTAAGTATTTCACATTTTTTTAACTCTTAAAAAACAAAAAGTTAATGGGGGGAGGTCAAAATATAGTGAATCACCCTGTACCTAAATAGAGTAATATAGAGTTGAAATATTACTAGCTAATAAAATTCCTCGTAAAAAAAATTCGAATAAAGTATTAAATTAATGGATTCATGATACATGTACATAAATGACAAAAAGCTTCAGGGCATAAATAAAGCTGTAAATGTCGAGTATGGAGTTATAAATTTAACTTACTTAGTCTCCTGAAATTTTTTATTCAATAGATAAGTTTACCCCT